TTCCCTCTTCTCTCCCCTGTGGTCACTGTAAGCCTGTCCTCTATTTCATTGTCTTTGGTTATATTTTGCTTGTTTCTTTGTTTTGTTGTTTAGGTTCCTGTTAAAGGTGAGATCATATGGTATTTGTCTTTCACTGCCTGGCTTGTTTCGCTTAGCATAATGTTTTCCAGCTCCATCCAAGCTGTTGCAAAGGGTAGGAGCTCCTTCTTTCTTTCTGCTGCATAGAATTCCATTATGTAAATGTACCATAGTTTTTTGATCCATTCATTTACTGATGGGCATCTTGGTTGCTTCCAGCATCTAGCTATTGTAAATTGTGCTGCTATGAACATTGGGATGCATAGGTTCTTTTGGATCGGCGTTTTAGTATTCTTAGGATAGAGTCCCAGCAGTGGAATTGCTGGGTCAAAAGGCAAATCCATTTTTAGTTTTCTGAGGAAGTTCCATACTGCTTTCCATAGTAGTTGTACCAGTCTGCAGTCCCACCAACAGTGCACTAGGGTCCCCTTTTCTCCACAACCTCTCCAACACTTGTTGTTTGTTGCTTTGTTTATGATGGCCATTCTGACTGGTGTGAAGTGGTATCTCATTGTGGTTTTAATTTGCATCTCTCTGATAGCTAGCGATATTGAACATCATTTCATGTGTCTTGGATTTTCTGTATGTCCTCCTTGGAGAAGTGTCTGTTCAAGTCCTTTGCCCATTTTTTTAATTGGGTTGCTTGTCTTCTTAGAGTGGAGTCGTGTAAGTTCCTTATATATTTTGGAGATTAAACCCTTGTCTGAGGTATCATTGGCAAATATGTTTTCCCATACAGTTGGTTCTCTTTTTATTTTGATACTGTTTTCTTTAGCTGTGCAGAAGCTTTTCATTTTGATGAGGTCCCATTTGTTTATTCTTTCCTTTATGTCCCTTGGTCTAGGGGACAAGTCAGTAAAAAAGTTTCTGCGTGAGATATTTGAGATTTTCCTACCTACGTTCTCCTCTAGGACTTTAATGGTGTCACGTTTTATATTTAAGTCTTCTATCCACCTTGAATTTGTTTTTGTATATGGTGTAAGTTGGTGCTCAAGTTTCATTTTTTTGCACATAGCTGTCCAGTTCTCCCAGCACCATTTGTTGAAGAGGCTATTTTTATTCCATTTTATGTTGCTGCCTCCTTTCTTTCTCTTCTTTTCTGTGTGTGAGAATATATATAAAACAAAGTTTTAAAATTGAGTTTGGGTAATCAACTAAAGGGCCAGATCTTTTTTTTTTCTTTCCTAATGAACAGCCTTTAAGATATATCTACTCAATCCTTTATATTTTAAAAACATTTTTGTAATTTATAGAGTGTTTAAAACCACATTTAAAAAAAAAAAAAAGAAAAAGAAAAAGAAAACTGCCCTGACTGGTGTGGCTCAGTGGATTGAATGCCAGCCTGCAAACTAAAAGGTCACTGGTTTGATTCCCAGTCAGGGCACATGCCTGGGTTGTGGGCCAGGTCCCTGATTGGGGGCATGTGAGAGGCAACCAATCGATGTATCTCACACATATGTGTTTCTCTCCCTCTCATTCTCCCTCCCTTCCCATCTCTCTAAAAATAAATAAATAAAATATTTTAAAAATATGAAATTTTAAAAAGAAAACCACAGCCCTAGCTGGTGTGGCTCAGTTGATTGATTATCATCCTATAAACCAAAACGTAGGTTTGGTTTCCTATCAGGGCACATGCCTAGGTTGTGGGTTTGTTCCCAGTTCCAGTCCGGGCAAGAGGCAACCAATTGATGTTTTTCTGTCACATAGATGTTTTTCTCCCTCTTTCCCTCCCTTCCCCTCTCTCTAGAATCAATGAGCATGTCCTCAGGTGGGGGGGCAGGCAGTGTGCACACACAAGGAAAACTCAATTATAACTGCTTATAAAAGAGATAGAAGCATCAAATATTTTAACAATTTTGCTTTCAGGCTTTGAAATAAGAATGTCTCAAAAAACTTACATAAATTTATAATCTAAACAATTTCTAACTATGCTAAAATTCAGTATCTTTTTGTTCACTTCACATAGTTACCTTTTTAAAATTTTTGTGGTGAGGACATTTAAGATCTACTCTCTTAGCAACTTTCAAGTATACATGTTAGTTATAGTTATCATTAGATCCCTAAAACTTACTAATTTTATAACAGGAAGTTTGTATCATTTGGCCAACATCTCTCCATTTCCCCCACCCCCAGTCCCTGGCAACTACCAAGCTACTCTTTGTTTCAATGAGTTTGGCTTTTTTAGATTCCACTTATGAGATCATACAGTATTTGCCTTTCTATATGTGACTTATTTTATTTAGCATATTGTCCTCAAGCTTGTGTTCATGTTGTCACAAGTGTCAGGGTTTCTTTCTAGGAGAGGGTGCTACAGTGGCTCTTAAAGGTGTTGCCACAATCTCCTCAGGTAAAGGAAGACACATCTGTGGAACTAGGACACACCTGTGTGATTGTGCTAAATGACACTGAATTTTACAGTTTAAAATCATTAATTTTATGTTATATGAATTTTATCTTGTTATGGAAGTATATTAAGTTTAATTTTAAAGGGCATATGAATGGTAAAAATTATTAAGGGTATAGTAAATGTTGATAAATTTATTTATTTGAAAAGGTATATAAATACCTGCTGTAAATTATTACATAGATGATATACAAAAAAAGTAAAATTAGATTTCAGTTTTCTCTATTGTAAAACAACCACGTAATAATCTACCTAGATAACAGAGGTTTCTGATATGACCTATTTAAAAGTCATAAGACTTATTTTGTTAAGACCAAAAATATTCTTTTTACTCTTTGTACTTCTAAGAAACTCTTGAATAATTTTGACAAAAGTTTCTCATTTTTTTAAAGTTCCTAAAAATCACTTTTAATCATTACTGTGGTTTTAAAATATATATAACTAGGTTTGGGGTTTAAAAATTGTGACCACACAGTTAACAGGAAACAATATTTCTTCCAAGGACATTTTGCAGATGTAAATGTCATAATAACCACCTTCTTTGGGTGACTTCTGCTGTGATACTCACTGAGAAATTTTATTCTCTAAAAGCATGGACTATAAGAAATTTTGCTATCTAAAAATATATCTTTTATAATATATCTTTTGTAATATATGTAAAAATGCATCCCTCTCTTACCTGAACGACATAAGTTACTCTGACTTGAAGCAGCTGCAATTTTCCCCTGGGAACAGAGCTTCAGGCAGGGATTCTGGATTCAATGTTCTACATACACTCTAACTCTAGATTCTGAGGAATCCAAAAGTTTACATTGCCACTTAGAGCTGATGTTGATCCCTTTACACACAATCTTGCTTTGGGCCGTGAAAACATGGCTTCGTTTAAATTTCATGTAAACTCTACTCTTCCCTCAAATTCTCTGTCTTTTCTTTCATTTGATGAAATGCCCCATGGTGCCTCTGGTGTGATCTTCCAAATTGCAGTGGGTCAATGAACCTGATTTTGTTGCACTACAGATTTATCCTTGTAGTGTGATTGGGTTAACACAGTATAAAATTCATGTTTCCACAGATGCTGTAGAAGTAGACAACGAGATTCAATAAATCAGAATTAACATTTTATTATAGCGTACAAACTAGTAGGAACATCAGAATGGTGGTGCCAGTTTCTATGCCCCCAAGTCTCATGAGACTGTGATAAGCTACACACATAGTGGATTGTGTTACAGCTGAGGACCCCAGGGCAAAGGGCTCAGCATGTTTTGTAGCAAGCATCAAATAAGCCAGTCCCCTTTTTGTGGGGAGCAAACAGTTGCATCACAGTCATCTTTTGGTCACCTTGACCAACTTACTTATATATGTGACTCTATTAAAAACTACTTAATATCAGGGGATGGTTAGGTCCTAGAGTGGCCTATGCCATACAAGGATGCTTGAGACTGTCGTGGACCACTTCTCCCATAAACCAATGTAAAGATTTGTACAAAATTAATCTTACTTTAAAAATTTAGCCCATTATTTCTAGAGATTTTTGAATAAGATACAATGAGCCAAAAAGGAAGGAAACTCCCAATTCTAAGCTAAGAGCAAAGTTTAGAAAGAAAACAATGCTTCTCAAGGAAATGTGAATTATAACTTTGGTTTTTATTTTATATTTGCCAAAATTCTTTCCTGTGAATGTTATCAAAAGATTGTTCAGTTAGGTACTGTTAAGGGATAAGTAATGGTTTGCAACATTTTCACTAAATCGTGGTCTGAAATAAGATTGCCAAAAATTAGAAGGTTGTTAATTCCTCAGTAATTTCATTTATATATGCTTTCTCAATTTTTCAGAGTTATATCTTTTTGCCAAACCAAAGAACCGGAAATACAGTTGTTGTATTGGAACCTAGACTATATTGAATCCAAACTGTTTGACTTTTAGGGCCACCAAGATATAAAAATACATGTGGATGAATCTATATCTTGAAATCTGGCATTAGGTTAAGCTTTTATCAATTCCTGGAATCACTATATAACCATTTTTTTTCACAGTAGAAAATTTAGACTACATTGCCTTTTATTTGGCAGCAAAGTAACAGTTATGTCATGTTGAATTTCAGTATCAGTCAGTTATTTCCTTCTTATGGATGTTGCATTCAATTATTCCAATATTATAGGTTATTATTTATGTCAAAGCCTTTTCTCTTTGACAACAGAACACTTTTCCAGATAGAACAAATAATAAGTAGATTTAAGAAACCATGCAGAAACCTGTATTGATGAATAGTGACACTGAATACTAAGTTCATCTGTCTCTGGTATGTAATTGTCACAGCCCATTTATAGACATTTCCAGTTCTAGACTGACCTCAGCCAAATACTAGATTAGGTTTCAAATTCATTGAAACTGGGCACTGATATGAAAAAAATAAAAATAGGCACTTCTGGCCATATCGCCGGATATCTGCTGAGTGACCCTTACAAGTCCTTCTTGATTTTGAAGTGGAAAAGGTGCGGATTTTACTGCTGGTATTAGAACTATAAATGTAGCGGGCCATGGGGTTGGAGGATGAGCGGAAGATGCTGACCAGGTCCAGAGATCCCAAGGAGGAGGAAGCGGAGGAGGAGGAATTAGTGGATCCCCTAACAACAGTGAGAGAGCAGTGTGAACAGTTGGAGAAATGTGTAAAGGCTCGGGAGCGGCTAGAGCTTTGTGAGGAGGAAGTATCCTCCAAGTCACACACAGAGGAGGATTGCACGGAGGAGCTCTTTGACTTCTTGCATGCAAGGGACCACTGTGTGGCCCACAAACTCTTTAACAGCTTGAAATAAATGTGCAGACTCATTTACCTGTGGGCACCACTGAGGCATCAGGACATTTCCTCATGGTTTTGAACATGTCATTTGTTTCTTATTTGTGTAACTAAGTTCATGCGAACCTCATAGATTTGCTTAGGCAATAGTTCCCATGTAATTAGCAGTGATTCCATCTTCAATAAAGTCTAGTAATCTACAGACCAAAAATAAATAAATAAATAAATAAATAAATAAATAAATAAATAAATAAATAAATAAATAAAAATGAAATTCTGCCTGAGTAAAAGCTAGTTGTTGTTTTTTTAAATGTATTGACTTTAGAGAGAGAGAAAGGAAGGGAGAGACATTGATTTGTTGTTCCACTTATTTATGCATTCATTGATTCTTGCATGTATACTGACCAGGGATAGAACCTGCAACTGTGGCATATCAGGATGATGCTCTGACCAACTGAGATACCAGCCAGGGTGTTCTATTTTATTTTTAAAAACTCAAAGCTAGAATAAGAGGTCTGTCCAGAAAAATTCCAGCCGTTGTTAATATAATGAGAATGGTTTGTGCAACATCAGTATAACCTGACAGCCAAGGAGAGTGGACTGGAATGCACATACATGAACAATGACAACTTCACTGTATTAGTCAGTGGGGGTGGTAGACGCTGTTGAATGAGCATGTGTACTATGTGGCCACTGTTGAATGAGCATGTATACTGTGTGGCCGTCACATTCAAGATGACTGAGTAAGTAGAGCAGTGAATCTGCATCAGATTTTGCATTAAGCCTGATCATTCCTCTGTGGAAACAATTTGGATGATTCAGAAGGCCACAGCTATGGGCAACCAGTGATTGGCAGCTTCATCACAACACATGCCCACTCATGCATCACATCTTGTGCAGAGTTTTTTGGCAAAACATCAAATCACCCAGTTGACTCAGCCACCCTACAGCACATATTTGGCACCCTGTGACTTCTGCATTTTCCCAAAACTAAAATCACCTTTGAAAGAGGAGAGATTTCAGACCATCAATGAGATTCAGGAAAATATGACAGGGTAGTTGATGGTGACTGGGAGAACTGTGTGAGGTCCCAAGGTACCTACTTTGAAGGGGACTGAGACATCATTGTCCTATGTACAGTGTCTCTTCTATCTTGTGTCATCTTCAATAAATTTCTCTATTTTTCATATTACATGGCTGGATACCTTCTGGATAGACCTCCTATCTCCCATTGTATGAGCTAGGAATGATTTTGGCTGCAAGAACAGATAAGGTATCTGGAGATTAAGATCCTCTGCTTCATAACTTCATGGTCACAAGATGGTTGCTGCAATTCCAGACATGGCATGAAGTAGAGAAAAAGAAATGCTACCAGGATCTTTGTCCTTTTTATTATAAAACACAACTCAGAAGTCCTTCAACAAATTTCCTCTTAGGATTCATTCATTAGTCAGACTGTGAAGCATGGCCGCTATTGGCTGTGAGGGAGACTGGGAAACCAAGGCTTTTTGTAGCCTCTAGAATGCAGACAAGGCAAGCACAAAGCAAATGGGTGCAAACATTGGGTTAGCCTACCAACACATGTGAAATACATGTAACTTCTGTTCTATTCAGTGAGACATGGGGTAGCAAAATTAAGGAGGTAGTGAAAGAAATTCTGTCTGCCAGGATTCATTTTTTTTTCCATTTATTTTGTCAAAATACAAATCAAAGCCACGTTCAATCTTTGTTTGCTAATATTTCTTTTAGTGTACTGTATGATCTGACTCAATTTAATTTCCTGCCTCCATGCATTTGCTCACGCTGTTAGCTCAGCCTGAATTTCCCATTTCTACATATTAAACATTTTATTTGCTCTTCACAACCTAGTTCAAATATAATCTCTCCCATGAACTCCCTAATCTCCCCAACTGAAAATTATCTGTGAACTCCCAAGACACATTACCATATTTTGCCATGTATAATGCACACTTTTTTGCCCACATTTTTGAGAAGAAATAAAAGGATGCTCATTATACATGGGTAGTACCTGAAATACCTTGTATCTGTTCTTGTGTTTTGTAATTAATTGTTACATAAAATTTCTTGTACCACAATATGTTAAAAAAATAAATGCTAAAATTTCTTTATAATATTAAAAAAGCAAGTATCTAAAAATACATAGATAATTGAATTAAAAATTGAAACAAGATTTTTTTCCTGAAAGTTGGGCCAAAAATGCAGATGCACATTATACATGGCAAAATACAGTATTATTGTCTTAAATAGCAATAACTTGAATACTTTAACATAGGATATCTCAAACTTCACAACCACCTGATGAGGTAGGTACTATTGTTATTCTCATTCTATGGTTGTTGAAACGGCAGCTTAGGAAAATTAAGTAACTAATCAAGAACACATAGCTTGTACGTGCTATAGTGAAAAATCAATCTCAGCTCTGTCTGATGCCAAAATCCATTCTCTTAACACTATATCATATTGCTTTCTCTATATACCCACTAACTGCAGGAGGGCAGTGTCTTACTTACCTCTACTAGCCTCCCCTCCTTTACTCACCCACTGCCTTGGAAATCAGAGGTGCTCAAAAAGTTATTAAATAAATTAGTAAAGCTGAAGACTTTGTCAACATGGCAGGAAAATAGTACATAAGAAGATTAGAAGTCAGGCTGGCTGGGTTCAAATGCTGACTGACTTAATGGAGCAAGTTAAATACCTACCCTATCCCACAATTTTCTTACCAGCGAAATAGGAATAAGAACCCTTTCTCTCTCTGTAATGTTATTAGGTTTAAATGAAATACATATAAAATATGGATGGTCCCCAACTTACGATGGTTTGATTACAATTTTTCAACTTGATGATGGTGCAAAGTGATATGTATTCAGTAGAAACTATACTTCGATTTTTGAATTTTGTTCTTTTCCTGGGTTAGTGATATGTCAGACACATGATCAAGAGAGTAAACAACCGATACTCTACAGTAGTGATTTTCAACCTTTTTCATCTCATGGCACACATAAACTAATTACTAAACGTATGCAGCACATCAAAAAGTATTTTTTTTTTGCTGATCTGACAAAAAATAGGTATAATTTTGATTCATTCACACAGGATGGCTGTTGTAGTAACTATTGTCATTTTTTAAATTTGAAAATCTAAGGGAAAAGAGGTCAGTAGCCCTGACAAAATGGTCAGGTATTGCATGTTTTAAAAATTCTTGTAGCACACCAGTTGAAAATTGCTGCTCTGCAGTGTACTGTGTTGCCAGCATTTTTTGTATATTGTATTTTGTGTTTTCACATCCCATTATTTCTATGAAATGCCCATCTGTGTCTCCTGTTTCTGGTGAGATAAAGAAGAAGAAGGCAATTATACTTAAAACACAGTTTGGCACAAAAATAACTGTTTAATAAACGTTAGCTATTATTTACTTTTCCAATAGCCCTCTTTCAAATTGAGATTAAAGATCCTAAAAGTAGAAGGACCATTTTCTGATGGGTCTACCTAACTGGCCATAATGTGAATATAGTGCTACAAATCTGATTAATTCTGTGTCTTTCATACAATTGTTCTTGTTATTTTATTTAAATGTATATTTCAAAAGCATGTAACCTTAATAAATACCTGCATCTTTTTCTCTAACTCCATACCCTATTCCACAAAAATAAGTACCTTAACATGCATTTAGTTTTCTACCTGTGTCCCTCACATGTTGAGATCACCTGGGTATTCAGTGGGACTGTTGTTTTTTCCAGCAATGTTTACTTAGATTTGTTTTCTTTTTTCTTCCTTCTTGATTAATTTTTCTTTTGCCATAGTACATCTTCAAATAATTCTTTAAAAATAGTTTACATATCTAGACACTGAGAAATTTTGCAGTTGTCTGGGTCTGGGAAAAACAATTTAGAGGTACTAAGCAAAAGTGTTTCATTTAGCCCTCAAGGTTGAATGCTAGTGAGGCTTGGTATAAAATTATAGTATCAAAACAGTTTTTCCTCACTTGCCCTGGTGGGTTGGTTAGAGCTTTGTCCTGATATGCCAAGGTCACAGTTTTGATCTGCAGGCAGGGCACATACAAGAAGCAATCAATGAATGCATAAATAAGTGTAACAACAAATCGATGTTTCTCCCTCTCTCTCAAATCTATAAATTAAAAAAAAAATTTCCCTCAGAACTTTCAAGATACTGTCTTGCAGTGTCCATTGTTGCAAATTTAATCTCATTTCTTTGTGGGTACCCAGTTTGTTTTTTCTCTGAGTGCTTTTAGGATTTTCTCTAAATGATAAGATCAAATTTTCACCTTAACGTATATAGGTAAAGGATTTTGTAGAAATAAATCCGTCTATCTACTTGGTGATACCTAGTGGCCTGAAGACTGGTGCCTCTTTTGGGGTCTGATAACATTTATTCTTTGTTCCTTCCCTTCTACTATCTTGTTTTACTCACGAAGAATCACTATCCTGTGGATATTTATTTTTCTGGATCTATGTTCCATGTCTTTTGATGTGTCTCTTATACTTTTCATTTCTTTGTTCCTATGTACTATATTCTGGAAAAATCTGGCTTGGTTTTCATCTGTATTTAAGGCTGAAGTTAAGTCAGCATACAGTGTTAGGGCATATTGTTCCAAGTCTTACTGGGTATATTCTGATTGTTTGATACTTGTGCCATAGTAGTCAGTAAATATTTTTAATATCATTAGGGTGTGTTATTATTTTAGCATATCTCTTTGAGTTTTTAAAATTTCAATAGTCATACATTTATTTCTAAAAGATCTAGTTATATCTTTTCCCTCATGCACTTTCTTGTAGAATGTCTCTGGGAATATTATATCTAATTTTAAAGTCTTCTTTGGCTTGCTATGTTAACTGTTTCTTTCATGTGGAGAGTATGCTAACTTTCTTTTATGATTGTTCTTGGTTTTGTGCTTATATTTCTTTGAGGTACTTTATTATTCTCTCTATGGGTTTTTGCTCCTATAATGAATTTGGCATTGTGAGCAATGAGAAGTTTTAGATAGATTTCAGTTATCTGAATTAATCTGTAATGTAATTCTTTCAGTACTAAAACACATAAGTACTTTTGCGTGGACATAGTGATGACTATATAATTATTATGTGCCACATAGGAGTGAGGCCACCTT